ACCCTTGCGGCACCCCACAAATAAGGTGCCTCGAGGTCGACCTCTGCCCCCCTGCCAACACAAACTGCGAACGGTCAGAAAGGAAGAAGAACCACCGAAGCACAGTGCCCCCTATTCCTAACCCCTCCAGCCGGTGCAGTAAGATACCATGGTCGATGGTATCAAAAGCCGCTGAGAGATCTAATAGGACCAGGATAGAGGAGCAACCTCTGTCCCGAGCCCTCCAGAGATCATCCACCAATGCGACCAATGCCGTTTCCGTGCTGTATCGTGACCTGAAGCCCGACTGGAACGGATCCAGATAGACAACTTCATCCAGGTATCGGGGTAGTTGTCGCGCCACCACACTCTCAACAACCTTCGCAACAAAGCGAAGATTGGAGACTGGACGATAATTTGATAATATAGCCGGGTCCAGGGAAGGCTTCTTGAGGAGGGGCTTCACAACCGCCTCTTTCAAGGCAGTGGGAAAGACACCCTCACTCAGAGAAGCATTTATAATCCCCTGGAGCCAGCCTCGTGTAACCTCCCGGGAGGCCAGTACCAACCAGGAGGGACACGGGTCCAATAAACATGTGGCAGCGTTAAGCTTGCCCAGAATCCTGTCCACGTCCTCAGGAGCCACAGAGTCAAACTCTTCCCAGTATATAATTACTGCAATATCATAAATGAGGGCTGAAAGAGACAAATTGTATTTGGTGAATTTAGGAAAAATAATCAGATACATTATCCCTTTTTCTGGAAACTAAAATGTTTTTTCTCCTCTCCCCCCCCCCACCCCCAATGTTTTTCAAATTTTGTAATTTTAAACCGGGTGAACTTCAATTCCCAGAATTCCCAAGCCAGCATCTTCAAGTTTTCCAGTTTGAAAAACACCGCATCACAATTTAATCTGGAAATGTATTATTTTTCCAGCCTTTTCTCCAGAAATCCTGTCACTGGGGCTGTTTGTAGGCTATATATCCCTTGCTTTTTGTCTTTTAATGAAATTTAGCTGGCTCCACTGGATTTCATCTCATAACCTGCAGGCAATAGTTGTGAAATAACACATCGTGTACATAGGCAGTTGTGAGACAAAGTTAAGGTTATGGCCTTCCTTTTTATGATAGGCAATATTTATTTTTTTTTACTGTTGGTGTTGATTCTGTAAACATGTTCAGGTTTGTTTCTCTAACTTTTAGAATTTCATTTCCTCAATAGAAAAAGGTGCACCATTTTGGGGTCATTGGTTCCACCATAAATTATTCTTACTGTTCAGAATCTTTTAATTTTATACCAATTAAGATAAGTGTACAAATACATTCTGTTCATTATAGTGTAATAATGAGTGTTCCTTGGAATTCTGCTGTTTTATTAACACTAGGCGGGATTTTTATGAGAGTAAAATGGATCCTCTGCATGCCACTTTAAAATCTATCTGGAGGAACAATTAGAAAAAAGAAGAAGATAAATCTACATACTGGGCCAGGGAAAAGGAAGTATCTCAGCCACATAAATACAAAAACAGGCAAGTGGTAACATGTTTTTGTTCCCATGTGTCAAATATGGCAACAGTAACATTATGGAGGTGTTTAAAAAGAGAGTCGGCTTGGTGCAGAGGGTAAAATGTTGGATTAAAAATTTAGGAAGGAAGAGTTGCAAAATTATTTTGGGCCTGTCAGCCTAGCCTACCTCACAGGGTCGTTGTGGCGGGAAAAAATAGGAAGCACGAACGTTATGCGCCCTGCCTTTAGTGTACAGTCAAATAAAGGCAGGACATCATTCTAAAAATAATATATAGTCAATGAAAAGACTTCATGAAGATGGATTGACTATATACAAAACAAATATGGGACTAAAAAGTTGCAAATAGCTTATGAATGAAATATTTAGATGATTTTTTTTTTTACTTTGACATTTTAGTACCTATGGGGGAGTTAAAGAGTAAGGGGAAGTTAAGAGTTTATAGTTAGTTTGTTTATGTTAGATTATGTTTGTTAAATGCAATACCCTGTATTTTGCTCTGGGAAGTGGGGAGGGGAGGGAAGGGGAAGGGGGGGTAAATTGTTTATAAAACATTTTAAAACTTTTCAATTAAAAAAAAGAAAAGAAAAGACTTCATGGAAGGGAGTATTTTAAGTGGGCAGTTTTAAGTAGAATTCCCTGGAAGTCAGGAGCCCTCAAGGCAGAGGGATTGAAAAGATAAGTACAGGCAGTCCTCGATTTACAACCATTTGTTTAGTGACTTATGACCGTTTTTCACACTGGTCACGGGATCAAATTAGATGGGCAACTGGCATATATTTATGATGGTTACACTGTCCTGGGGTCATGTGATCCTCATTTGTGACCTTCCCAGCGGCTTCCAACAAGCAAAGTTAAGGGGGGAGGAAGCCAGATTCACTTAACGACCGCATGATTCTGCGGTGATTTGCTTAACAACTGTGGCAAAAAAAAAAGCATAAAATGCAGCAAAACTCACTTAAGATACGCCTGGCTTAGCATCAGAACTGTTGGGCTCAGCTACGGTCGTAAGTCAAGGATTACCTGCATATAGACTGTGCAAAAGGTGCACATGATAGTCTGTACTGCATCTGACCCAAAGGTGGGGTCTCACCTCGCAGTGGGAGAAACCCCCTCCCCGCCCCCCCAGGAAGGGAGACTGGAGGAGTTTTTTAGGTAGTCCTCAATTTACAACAGTTCCTTTAGTGACTGTTCAAAGTTACAACTGCACCGAAAAAAGTGACTTAGGGCTGTTTTTCAGACTTACGACCATTGCGTGGTCGTGCGATCAAAATCCAAGTCCTCGACCACTGAACTCGTATTTATGACGGTCGTAGTGTCCCGGATTCATGTGATTCTCCCTTTTGCGACCTTTCAACAAAGCAAAGTCAAGGGGGGAAGCCAGATTCACTTAACAACCATCCTACTCCCTTATTAACTGCAGCGATTCGCTTAAGGACGGTGGCAAGAAATGTCATCAAACGGAGCAAATCTCACTGAACAAATGCCAGAAATTATGTCGCACTTCACAGAAACGTTGGGCTCAAGTGTGGTCGTTAAGTGGAGGACTACCTGCACTAACCTCAAGAGCGGCAGCGATTCACTTAACAACCGGGGCAAGAAAGGTCGTAAAACGGGGCTCAAACCTCAGTGAACGTCTGTCTCACTTAACGACATAAATTCTGGGTTCAACGACAACCATAGCTCGAGGACTAAATAAATAACCCCTGCCTGGATTTAAACCTTAGAGCCTTGGTGGCGCAGTAGACTAAAGCACTGTTAAGTAACACCAGCTGCCTGCAATTACTGCAAGTTCGAATCTCACCAGGCTCAAGGTTGACTCAGCCTTCCATCCTTTTGAGGTAAATAAAATGAGGACCCGGATTGTGGGGGCAATAAGCTGACTTTGTATAAAAAAAGAACACCGCTTGGGGGGGGGCGAAAGCCCTACTAAGCAGGTATTTACAAAAGTATGAAGGCTATTGCTTAACGCATTGTAAGCCGCCACGAGTCTCTGGAAAAGGGCGGCATATAAATCGAACCAATAAATAAATAAATAAATAAATAAATAAATAAATAAATAAATAAATAAATAAATAAATAAATAAACAAACCGCCCCTCACCCTCTACCCTCACGGGGGAGACACTCAGATCCCTCCTCCACTGCCCTGATCTCCCAACTGTCTCTCAAGGATCCCCCAAAACCCGTGCTTCTTCGCCCTCCTCACAACGACCCCGCGAGGTAGGCCGGCGGGAGGGACGTGGCGGCGCCCGCTCTTCCCTCAAACAACCCCCCCCACCCACCCACCACATCCGCATGCGCACCTCCTCCACCTTCCCGCGCGCGACGTCATCGGCTCCGCAGGTTCGCCCGCGCGCGGCCAATCAGGGCGCCGGAGGAGGAGGAGGAGGAGGAGGAGGAGTGGGGGGTGGGTGGGGGTGGGAAGGTTTGTGTGGGGTCCGCCCCTCCCCGCGCCCCCTCATTGGCCGCGCGCCTCGCCCGCTCGCCCGCCCCGCCCCTCCTCTGCATATTCATGAGGGGGGCGGGGCGGAAGCGGAAGCGTTGCGCGGAGACGGTTTCCGAGGAGTCGAGGGTATAAAGCGCCCGCCGCCGCCGCCGCTGCCGCCGCTGGCCCCGTCGCCTCTCCTGCCGCCCCCTCGCGAGTCGTGGCCGCGCCGGACCGACCCGCCAGCGCTCCCGGAGCAGCCCCGTTCCCAGCCAGCGCCGTCCACGCAGCCGGCCCCTGCCCAGCGGGGGGAGCAGCCGGGCCCCGGCGGAGCAGCGAGGTCCGCGAGGAGCAGGTACCGGCCGAGCTCGGGTTCCCTTCCTTCCGCGCGTACCCCGGAGAAGGGCCTTCCCACGCGCGGGCGCCGTTGGACACGCGGGATTGGGGGGGGTGGAAGGGCGTCCTCACGACCTCTTTGCCCGCGACACGCATCTGCACGTCGGAATGCTTTGGCGACGTCAAGATTCCCGCCTCCCCTCCAGGGAGATGAGGTTGACCTTCTTTTCCCGGATGGGCTGCCCTCCCGATGGGATAAGATCCCCCCTCCCAAAAAAAGAGGGGCGGGATGGAGATGCTGGGAGTGGGGTGGGGTGGGTTGGTCCCCCCTTGGCGCAACTGGAGGGCACCAGGTTGGGGAGGCTGCGATGGGGTGGGTGGGGAGGATGATGGGGAGTGTGTGGGGGCTTGGTTGATCCTTCCTTGCTCTGGCTTTGCCTGGTCTCCATCAAATGCTTCTGTCGCCTCCTTCCAGACGGGCTGGATGGGGATGATGGGGGTTAGGGTCCCTGGAGGGCACCAGGTTAGGGAGGAACGTGGCTGCAATGGTGGGGAGTGGGGGGGCTTGCTTGATCCTTTCTTGCTCTGGATTTGCCAGGTCTCCTTTCCATCAAATGCCTCTTCCCCCCTCCTTCCAGATGGATGGGATGGGGATGATGGGGGACCCCTTGGCACATCTGGGGGGGGGCACCAGTTTGGGGAGGAACGTGGCTGCAGGAGCCGAGGCAGCAATGGTGGTGGTGGGGTTTGGGGGAGGAGGAGGAGGAGGATGGAGCCTTGCTTGATCCTTCTGGATTTGCCAGGTCTCCTTTCCATCAAATGCCTCTGCCGCCCTCCTTCCAGCCGACCCCCTAAAAAAAAGAGGGGCTGCCCCTGGCTGGGTTGGAGCGGATAGATGGCCCTTGGACAACCCCCCCCCCCCATTGCATGGTGGGTGTAAGGATGCAGCAGGCTGGCCTCTCTCCGGTTACCGCGATTGCTCTCTCCTGCTTGAGGCTGGCTCTCCATCCTGTCACTCCAAGCCCCGATGCAACTGTTACATAATCCCAGGATTGGGAGAAGCGCATCCTTGCTGGATCCCTAAAACTCCTTTCCCCCCCCCAGGTGCACCTCCCTCCCTGGCTGCAAAATCCCCCCCCCTTTTTTTTTTGGCATGGTTTCCCCAAGCCCTTGAGAGGCTCATCATCAGAAACCGTGTCTCTGCATGAGTTTGTCCTTACGACCTACATTGGGGTCAGTTTGCTGAGGAGGGGGGAATAATCAGCCTTTTCTCTGCATGATACTCTCTGGATAGATCTTGTCCGTCCTCTTTTTTTTTTGCAAGAGGAGGACGTTGGTGATCTCATGCTTTCCTGGACCAAAACGGTCCTAACAGGTTAAAAAAAGAGGATCGCCAAGGAGATCTCCGAATCTGGGGGAGAAAGGGTGGGTTTACAGGAGGAACATTAGCTTGGGAAGGGGATGGAAAAGATTGGCGCGGAGGGAGATCTTCTGATATGGACCGATGTGCTTTATTATGCAACTTAAGGATTAGAACATATCCCGAGTGAAAATTTTGGAAGGGGGGAAAGTGTGGGGTTTTGTCGGAGAGGCAGGAGGGTGGATGAAAAGATTCCTGTTCAATGGACGGGCACAGAATCGTTTGTTCTTCGGCTGTAGTGATTGGGGAGAAAAGTCAGAGGTCAAACAGTATGGGCCTCTTGGGAGGCACGCAGAGGTTGTGGGGAAGGGGGGGAGTGGGCTTTCGGACAGAGATCCCCTTGTGTGAAGTGATGCCTTCGTGGAACACAGGAGAGGTCTTGGATGCGAGAAACGCCTTGCAAATGGGAACGTTTAATGAGACTTTTCTGGCAAAGAAGGAGAACTCGGGACATTGAAGAAGGTCGGTCACTGAGTGGAAGAAATGGGGTGGGATTTGGCGAAGGAGTAGACCCAGAAGAGAGGGTGGAAGCGTGGGAAGAGTTTTGTACCTGCTTGGTTAGAGAAAAAAAGAACAAACCTCAGAGAGGAGTAACTGCTGGTTGCAAAACGATCAGAAGCTGGTTTAATGGCACGAGGAGGAGGCAGGTGAGCAGGGCAGGTGCTGCGAAGGGTGCAGGAGGAAGAGATTCTCAGGGGTTATGCAACAAAAGCAAGAGAAGCAGAAGGGTTGTCCGAATGCTTTTGCAGATGCCAGGTAGAAGAGAGGAGGAGGGGGATGGCAGTTGGAAGAGATTTCACGCTGGTGGTGCTTTGAATTAGTCACAGAAGCCTGGTGGGTGGGTGGGGGGGACGTTTCCTGCTAAGGGAGAAATGAACCTCAGGATATCTGCATGGGGATTTATACAGATGGTCTCACTGGTTTCCAGAGAGGATAAGCGATTTTAGACTCCAAAGAGGAGGGAAGCCCATCCAGGCAAGATGAAGGAAGAGGCAACTGTACCGTTCCCCTTTAAACCGCTCTTTATGTTAGCCTAGGCAAGAAGGTGGAAGGAGAAAGAAAGAAAAGAAAGAGAAAGAAAGAAAGAAGAAAGAAAGAAAGAAAGAAAGAAAGAAAGAAAGAAAGAAAAAGAAAGAGGAAGGAAAGAATGAAAGAAAGAGGAAGGAAAGAAAGGGAAGATAGATAGATAGATAGATAGATAGATAGATAGATAGATAGATAGATAGATAGATAGATAGATAGATCCTGGAAACAGAAATTGAAATTTCTGCTCCTTCATATGCTTGTGTAGGTTACTGTTCAGAACGTGGTTTTGGGGTTGGAGAGAAAGAGAAAATGAAAATATATATCTTTCCTACGGTGCAGAGAGCAAAAATCTTTGCCCAACAGAAATATTGGGGCTTAGGAAGAAACGAAAGAAGGAAGGTAGCGAAACCAAAAGCTGAACAAAGTCGGAGGTAAATCAGGAACTCCGGATGACTTGCAGTTTAGCAAGAAAATATTGTTTTTTCCACCCAGCCCAGCAGCCGAAAAGCAAAAATCTGGGCTGTGCCTAAACCTGAACAGACTCTCATAGGAAAAGAAATTCTGGAGCTCAGACTCACCGGACAGCCATTCTGTTTATTAGTTCTAACAGATAAATCGTACCTTTCCTTCTAGTGTGTGATTCAAGTCGCTCTGTTTTAATCAGAAATAAGGCTGCCAAATAGATGATCCTATATAGCCGTGATGGTGAACCTCATCACGGCTGTATAAAATCAGCGCCAGCTGATTTTCGGGTCTTCTGGGCCAACCGGAAGTTGGCAAATGGGCCATTTCCGGCCTCCGGGGTGGGAAGGACGTTTTCGCCCTCCCCAGGCTCCTAGAAAGGCTCTGGAGCCTGGGAAGAGTGAAAAACGGGCCTTCTGGTTCCACTGGAACTTGGCAAACGGGCCATTTCCAGTCTCTGGAGAGCCTCCGGGGAGTGGGGAAGGCCGTTTTTGCCCTCCCCAGGCTCCAAGCAAGCCTCTGGAGCCTGGGAAGGGCAAAAAACAGACCTACCGGGGCCACCATGCCATCGCGTGCCAAAAGCGGGGGGAGCCCAGGGGGTCGTGTACGCATGCGCAAGGCGCATTGAATTATGGGTATGGGCACGCGCGTGCATAACCCCCCTCCCCCCGCTTTTGGCACGCAGTGGCAAAAAGATTAGCCATCACTGCTATATAGCAAGTCAGGAGGCTTAACCTTCCCCTCTGAAGCCCCTTCCCACTTTTACCCCGCATTGACTAAGCAATGAAAGGAGGAACCGAGACTGTTACTAGGAGTGGAAGCTGTCAGAAGGGAATGAATTTAGGGAGAAAAGACTAAATTCTGAAGGAGATAAAGAGCTTCATATCAGAGACGGGTAGTCCTCAACCTACGACCACAATTGAGACAGTTGTTAAGTGGGTTTTTGCTCCATTTTACGATCTTTCTTGCCACGGTTGTTAAGTGAATCCCTGGCAGTGGTTAAATTAGTAACGCAGTTATTAAATGAATCGGGCTTCCCCCATTGACTTTGCTCGTCAGACGGTCGCAAAAGGAGATCACATGACCCCAAGACACTGCGACCGTCATAAATGTGAGCCAGTGGCCAAGGGTCTGAATTTTGATCATGCGACCCCGGGGGTGCTGCAACCGACGGTATTTAAGTGTGAAAAAACGGTCACGAGTCATTTTTTTCAGATTATTCTCGCCAATAACTCAAGGTGGCAGACCTACTGAGCACACCTTCCCTCTCTTATTTTCCCCACAACAACAACAACAACCCTTTGAGGTGGGCTGGGCCAAGAGACAGTGACCGGCCCAAAGTCACCCAGCTGATTTTGACGGCTGAGGTGGGACTAGAACTCACGGTCTCCCACTTTCTATCCTAGCACCTTAACCAGTAGACCAAATTGGCTCTCTTATTTTCATTGTCAGGTTTTGAGTTTATCTGCATATCTTCGACTTTCCCCGAAAGTTTTTCTTTTGTTTTTAATTTTTAGTAGCCTAGAATGGGCTGACGCTCTTTTTTTTCTTTGCCTTTCGTAATAAACGCCTGCAAATACAGAAAATGTCCTTGACTTATGACCACCATTGAGCCCAGCATTTATGTTGCTAAGTGAGACATTTGTTAAGTAAGCTTTTTTTTTTTTTTTTTTGCCCCATCTTACGACTTTTTCCTGCCACGTTTGTTAAGGGAATCCTGACTAGTTGTTAAATGAGTCACACGGTTAAGCGAATCTGTTTTCCCCCTTGACTTCGCTGGTCAGAAGGTCGTAAAAGGGATCAGGCGACACTGTGACCATCATAAAGCTGAACCAGTGGCCAAGCGTCCGACTATAAATTACGTGACCTTGGGGGGGATGCTATAACGGTCATAAGGGTGAAAAACGGTCGTAGGCCGTTTTTTTTCAGCGCCGTTGTAGCTTTGAACGGTCACTAAATTGAACTGTTGTAAGCCGAGGACTGCCTATAAGGCAGTTATCATAAATTAGTAAGCTCCTGCAAATTGCAACAGCCCTTAGACTTACATACCGCTTCGCAGTGCTTTACATCCCCCGCTAAGCGGTTTTACAGAATCAGCCTATTGCGCCCCCCCCCAACAATTTGGGTCATCGTTTTACCGACCACGGAAGGCTGAGTCGACCTTGAGCCTGGTGAGATTCGAACTGCCGAATTGTAGGCAGCCGATCAGCCTGCCGTGGGGTGTCGCTGCAGTGCAGGTCAGAAGGGGGTCTTTCTAAAAACAAGGCTTGTGGGGAGACAAGGATTTGGGGGGAACTTCAATGCTTCTGGACAGGGTGGATTTGATTTAAATTGAGTCGATTTAAATCATGATTTAAATCACTAGTAAAAAGACTTGATTTTAATCAACTCGATTTAAATCATAATTTTTAAAGAGCAGCTGTCATCTCTGCTACTCCTTTGACCCACTTTTGACTCACCGATAGTCCCAGTGTTGCAGAATATACAGCCTCATGCTACATAACTAAGCTCCATTTCATGCTGAATAAACTAAATTATTTATGTATCTTAAATAGAAAACTATCTTACGATAGATTTTTACCCCAAAAGTTTTTTATTAAAATAAATTCGATAAAAATAAAAAAAAATCCGATTTAAATAAAAAAATCCGATTTAAATCAAAAAAATCCGATTTTTTTGATTTTTTTTAAAAAAAATCATTGATTTTTATCCACCCTGCTTCTGGACCAGGGGTCTCCAAGCTTGGCAAAGCTGGCTGAGGAACTCTTGAGAGTTGAAGTCCACAAGTCTTAAAGTTGCCAAGCTTGGAGACCCCTGTTCTGGACCACGTTGGATCTCGTTTGGAAGAAGCCACAGTGGGAATTTCTTTATGGCTCAGGAATAATTACATATCAGTGATAAACCCCCCCGGCAATCAATCCACTTAAAGTTATGCTGACCGTAATGTAAACAGTCACTCACGGATGATTAAGGAAAAAAATGCTTCAGTTTGCATATTTGTGGTTCGGCCTCCGAGCAGGGTGAAAATCTTGTGCCGTCTTGTCTCGGAGTAGGAAGTCGGCGCGTACTTGCCTTTGAGATGCAGGCAGGGCGAACTGCTGACCTGCAAGTTTGGAGAGCGTATCCGTGTGACATTCGGGTGGTTCTTAGGTCTAAAATATATTTTTGAAGCTTTCAAAAAAAAAAACCGGTTGCTCGCAGACAGGGCACGGGCCTGTATTAAAAAGAACCGGAGTTTTTGAAATCTATCTTTCGTTTTACCATGGATATTCATCATTTAGAATAGAATAGAATAACAGAGTTGGAAGGGACCTTGGAGGTCTTCTAGTCCAACCCCGCGCTTAGACAGGAAACCCTACACCACTTCAGACAAACGATTATCCAACATCTTCTTAAAAACTTCCAGTGTTGGAGCATTCACAACTTCTGGAGGCAAGTTGTTCCACTGGTTAATTGTTCTAACTGTCAAGAAATTTGGTTCTTACGATAAAGCCAGAGGGCATATTTTTTTATTCGTTTGTTTATAATCTTCATTGTTTTTACAAATAACTCAACCGCTGAACATGTCCAATACACCATCCTCCTGTTTTCCCCATGAAAACAACCCTGTGAGGTGTGCTGGCTTGAGAGAGAGAGAGAGAGATGGACTGGTCCGAAGTCACCCAGCTGGCTTTCAGGGCTAAGGCAGGACTAGAAGTCACAATCTCCTGGTCATTGGCTCAAAATCACCTAGGCAGGCTTCATGCTTAAAGCGGGACTAGAACTCACCATCTCCTGGTGATTGGCCCAAAGTCACGCTGATAGCTTCCATGCCAAAGGCTGGACTAGAACTCATGGTCTCCTGGTGATTGGCCCAAAAGTCACCCAGCTGGTTTTCATGCCTGAGGCAGGACTAGAACTCACAGTCTCCTGGTGGATTGGACTCGAGTCACCTAGCTAGTTTTCATGCCTAAGGCGGAAACTAGAACTCACAG